ACTAAAAAACTGTATTGTACTATGCAAATGACATATTATTATAAGCTGGAACATCATAAAGATGACATGAAGATAAACGTTTCAAATTAAAAGGTCTTAAGATAGAATTTGTGCCATCCGATACTAGACCTAGTATACACGGTTTTAGAATGCCAAGTGTCTTTCACAAATAACGTAAGTACAGGTACAGGCTTGGCTTTGCCCCAGGCACTGCTCATCATCCATGGGCGACGGTAACCACTCACCATCAGGTGGGCCGTATACTCGTTCGTCTGCCTGTGAGAGCAATAAAAAATAAATAAAAACGTAAGTAAGATCGGTATTTAAACTGGACTAAAAACGCGAATACACAAGGAAAGTTAAAATAAATTGTGTAAATCTACGAAGCTTTTTTAAATATAATTTCATATTTATTTGATAATTGAAAGTAACATAACAAATACATATATATCGTCTGTATATTCTAATATCAGAGTACTGGTACAGTAGCATATTAGAGTTGATTTTGTGTTTAACTTTTCCTCGTAAAAAAAATATTTAAAATTATATTCACCACAAAAACAAAACTGTTTTTTTCTAATCCTGGAGACTAGAATCTTTGATTTTTGTTTTCTGTCAGTCTATCGAGCAATTTCAACCGCTCGTTGGAAGATTTTTCCTTTGTCTTTACTTCCAAACTATCGAACTCAGTGTTACGAGTAGGCACACAGTATGTGGTTCTCAGGTGCCCTAAGATAATATGTGTGGGAGGAGTGCCATAACTGAAGTCGTTCTTTCAGATGGAGGGGAGTGAATGTGTTAACCAGAATGTTGTAAAAAAGAGAGATAATGTGGTATCCCAACGCAGACCTACGAGTTAAAGCTGCCACTTCAGTTTTGCGTGAAATAGAGAGACGTGACCATATTATCGAAGATCAATTTGTTCTAGTGACTTATTTAATAGTCAAAACTAAATTTTGTATTTAACAGAACTGATTTACTGGTGGTAGGACCACTTGAGAGTCCGCGCGGGTAGGTACCACCACCCTGCCTATTTTTGCGGTGACGCAGTAATGCGTTTCAGTTTGAAGGGTTGGGCAGCCGTTGTAACTATACTTGAGACCTTAGAACTTATATCTCAAGGTGGGTGGCGCATTTACGTTGTAGATGTCTATGGGTTCCGGTAGCCACTTAACACCAGGTGAGCTGTGAGCTCGTCCACCCATCTAAGAAATAAAAAAATGTATTCCTTTAGCATCTTATCATTCTGGTGTTGAGAGCTTTGGTTGATTTAATTACAAAATGTAATGAAACTAATACCTACGGTATTCATGCGGAGCTCATGCCAAATACTTCGAACAATTGGAACGATTGTGCTCGTTCTGTGCACATTTCTAGTACTCATTTGCCAGCGTTCCTTCAAGCTTTGGGATGCAATCATTTCCACTGTATTTCTCCAGCGCTGTAATTCGACTTCGTTCTACCAACGAGGTTTGTGACTACTGCGAGAAAGGTCCTTGTTTTATCCTTTATATTGCTGACGTCCACAAGGAGCTGCTTCTAAATGCCACGAATTCTAGACCAAATAGCATATAGTCAAACGAAAAGTTCACTTAATTATTTTTTATACATTTGTGTAGGGGTTATGTGCTTAGTAGACGTTTTTTAACTTCTCGATCGCGTAAAAGTTAACTCATATTTGTATGGAGTTGGATACACAGGATATCGCAAGGTGAATGCGTCAACCACCTTGAGATACGACCTCTCAATTGTATCGTACAACGGCTGTTCGACTTTTGATACTCAAGGCTGCTCCTCGCCAGTAATGGGCAAGTTGGATAAACCAGTGCGGGCTCACAATGAGCCCTGCCGTCAATGATTTCATAGCGAAAGATACTGTTCTATGTTAACAATTTTAAAGAATCTATATATATATAAAAATGAATTGCTGTTCGTTAGTCTCGCTAAAGCTCGAGAACGGCTGGACCGATTTGGCTAATTTTGGTTTTGAATTACTCGTGGAAGTCCAGAGAAGGTTTAAAAGATATATAAATATGAAAATGCTGGGAATTAAATAAAAATAACAATTTTGTTTTTCCTTTAATGTGAGCCCCGTCGGACGGATTTCTTTTGTTTGTTTTAAGTTTATTTTATACAAAAGTTTAGCTCTTATAATTATCGATTGGGGCACTACGACTTCTGCCACTACTAATTCTGCCGGGTCAGCTTGTCGTTAATAAATATAACTTTGTTTCGAGCTGTTTAAATTACGATAATAGAGAAGCTAACATCCGAAAAGCATTTTAAAGGGATGTTAAATTAAATCAAAACGATTAATAGTATTATGTTGTAGGTTTTTTTTCTTTAAATCAGGATTAATGTAATAATTTTCAATATGTTCCATTGCAGTTTATTATAGACGCTTCAAAGATATAATCAGCATGGAGTGTGTAACCATATTTACTTTTTCCACTACCTAATCGTGGGTACTTAAGCCTAAGGGGCTATTCCAACTTCGCGCGGATCGGTAAGTGAGCTCACGGGCTCAAACTGAGAGAATTGCTAACATTGGCCCTAGCAAGAGCACTGAGAAGATCCGGCGAGAAACTCAGTGGGATGTGTCTATGGGCTAGTTCGCACGTCGAATTCTTCGGAGTCGACGGCATATCTACTGTCGTTGTGTCCTTCGCTTGTTTTTTTAAACCACGAATGACGTCACACACGTCATTCATGTCAGGAAGTTGCCTTCAGTCATATCTAGTATAGTCTGTGTAGTAAGTTCGAAAAACATCTACTGTTCGGTTCCCTATTTAAATTTTAAAAACCGTAATGTTCTATTTTGGAATCAAATTTAAAAAAATATTAAAATTCCGCGCCCGCAAAACTTCGGAGCAATATTGTTTAAAAACCGTTGCCTACATATTTCGAGAAGGCACCTAATTATCCAACTTCCATTTTCATTACCATTTTTGTCGGTATATCGCTTTGTGCTGATGAAACAAAAGAAAATTACGTGATGCGAAGCTTTTTTGCTCTCCATCATAGAGTAATAAAAAGGTTGAATTAATTTTGTTCTGAAACTTTATTGTGGAGTTTAAATGGTTTTTATTTATCATATCAAAAATCATTTAAAAAATACCAAATTCTAATGAAAATTTTGCGGGACTCAGAAGGAATGAATATAATTGTAGTGTGAAAAATGATATCTAATATTATAAATAATAGTTTAAAAAAACAAAAAAATACGTTTTTATAAAAAATCCAACAAAAAAATGATGAAATGATTTTATTGTAAAAAAAAGCGTGGGGTGCATGGTATCAGTAGTTATAAATATTTTATGAACAGAGTTATTTTGATAATGTCATGAAAAGCACCTCTATTCTATAAAAGTGTATATTTTTAGTTTTTTAAAACTATTACATATTTATTTTTAACTTTTTAGTTCAATTTAAATTTATTCAATTTTTTTTTAAATATTGAATTGTCATCGGTCCTTAATAAATATGCCAAATTTCGAGTTAATCCGACGTTATGAAGGGGGTCAAAATCATGTTCAAAGATTCCGTTACATACATACGTCTGAAGCTAATAAAAGCGTATTAATAAAGAAGCGTTTTACAAAATAATGAAAATTTACATAATATAATCAACCGACATTCAGCTAATAGTATCAGTCCGCTGAGTTTCTCGTCGCATCTTCACAATGGGACGTGATTTTGATCCAATGGCAGATGCATTTGGGATGCAGCTGCCTTTGGGCTATTAGGTCTCCTTCGGATACGCTCGGATATTTGGTAACAAAACCCCGGCTCAGCTCAGCGCTAGAGATTGACCGGCCTGAGGACACTGGATCAGGGCAGGCAGAGTTCCCTTCGTCCAGAAAAAAAAAACAACCTATAACTACTACACATATTTAAAGTTGTCGTGGCCTAAAGGATACGACGTGCGTATCGAACGATACGATTTATCGGTGCGCAAATCCTCCGCTAATATATGTATACTTAACTAATGTTCACAATTGACCTGATGAGGAAGGAGTACCTCACATTCTGTGATAAAAATTAAACAGCCACAAAATAAATGTAGGTAATTAATTCATTTGGGTTATTCAATTCAGGCATAAACTTGAAGTCTCCAGGTGGGCTTGGGCATTCCCGTTGTGATGTTTATGGTCTCCGGTAACCAAGAATGGCCAGGTGGGCCGTGTGCTTCCTCCCGTCACCCGTCAAAGCAATAAAAAAATCTTTTAAAGTCTACGATATGGCTTTGGAATTGACTAAAATCACCATTGTTTTATTGAAATTTTTAGTATAGAAACTCGGCCACCCCTAGCTCCTATAGCCAAATGTTATAATAATATGGAAAACAGCTACTTGTGATACTTAAGCATTTTGAGATTTCAGCATTGCGCCATTCCATAATTAAACAAGAGTCACGAAACATTATTCAAATTATACATTCTTAAAATGCTTTTAAAGTTTCATTCTTACACAAAAGGATTTCCTAATTTTAATCTAAGATATCACTGAACGCCTTTTACACTAAACAAAAGCGGTCAATGAAATTTGGCAATTCAAGTGTAGGCACTACAATGTAGATCAATTTTTCAAACTCATCTGTTGTTCTCTGCAGCCGGATTAAGAAAGCGAATTTGTGTTTCCCCCTACAAGAAAATGGCTAAAGGAACAAGGGCAATGTTGCAGGTTAAATGTAGGAGTTTACCTTTATTTGTGCACTAATAATTTTAGTTGGTTAATTCATTTATTTTTATTATCTAATCATATATTATGACTGTTTGTACAAACTGCGTTGCGTCGGATTAACCCATATTGTAAAGACACGGCTTGACGTCACATTACGTCCTCGATTTTTCTATTAAACTAGGGGCTTCGGGTCGCATCGGATCCCGCCGGCCCGCAAATGCACTGCGCATGCGTCAAAATTGCGCCAATTTCGCATTCAGCGGCCTCTGTCGACAGTACCAGTCCACTCGGGATCGGCAGAGGGATGTTGTGTCGTGGTACGCGTTCAACCGTCGGGAACGTCAAGAATTTGAAAATGAAATAGTTTCGGAAGTGGCGCGGCGCGTTCAGCAAACCGGTTGCCGATTTCGAAGCGTTTCGTTTAAGATTTTATTACGATATAACACTAGAACTTGCGTTGTGTTGTGTGTTTAGAATAAGTTTTGTGTGTTTTATGTAGTTTTAATGTAATTAAACAGTATTATACGAAATAAAAATAGGAATAGTTCGACTGTAGTGACCGCCGCGATTTCACAAAGTGGCATTAGGTATAACCTTGACACGTTTTCCCGCGCTCGCGCCCCAGCCTTGTTTTCAGTTGCACTCTCTCTTGACATTTACCGCATGAAGTGAGTATTCTATCGTTAATTAGCGTCACCCGGCAAATCGAAAGAGAAGAATGCGCGCAAAGCTATACCGGTTACAAATAAAGTCATGCTAAGTTATACTTGTACGCTTCCCTAAATTTAGTTGAGAAATTAAAAGACGAACTGCCGAAGTTTGTAATTATGGAGCCCTTGTGACCAATTTTGTTCCGAGACAGCCGTTGCTGCCAAGATGAGAATTTCAAAAGGTGAGTTGGTTTTTAATATATGTTTTGTTAACGCAATCATAATATGTCGACTATAAGGTTCTATATTCGGACACATTGTTTTCCGATTAGTAATCAGATGTACAGTAAAATTATCGCATCCAACCACTACCCATTCGGTATAGTGTCGTTACCTTATTTTCCTAAACTAGTTTTCCCCAACTTCATACCATGAGTATGGAGACAATATTTTGGTGTATTAAGTGTTCTTAAGTCTTGGCTGTAGTTACATAAAAATAAGCCTTCTGTAGTGTCGCACGTCGTTATAGCCGATATTTCACCAAGCATGGAGGTACACCAAGCTATGCTCACTGTGAGACTTGGATAAATATGATTACCGTCAACCTGTTTGTTGTTAGTAACCATAGTTCATCACCTACCTAAACGTTATCGGAAAACATTGTTAGTTCGCTTATCCAAGTATCGGTTTCTGAAGAGTGGCAATATTGTGTGGATGAAGATGAGCCGGGAATGGAGTGGAATGGAGAGAATGCTATAAAAGCGGTTGTTTACCGAGAGCCCGCTTTAGGTTTCGGTAATATTTTTTGTGACACATTTTTTTAAATATTATTCTAATCGAAGCAGTTTAAAAAAAACCAAATCGTTTATTCAAATTAGGTTTAGCTAATAACTAGATACATTTTTATTCTCGTATTTACATATTTTCGATATTGGACGAGAGCGTTTTGTAAAGAGAGCGAAATTTAATTATCATACTCCCAATCCTCATTTGTTATTTCACTTGACCACCGATTCAAGTCAAAACTTACGTCGGTTCAAATTTCACTAAACACCACAACCTACTCCTAGCGTACTAAAAGGGCGCAAGATGCAGTTCTTTTAGTATACTTGCTCAAGAGATCATGTGGTCTACCAGATCATACGTCTCACCAGAAAAAATTAAGCTTTCATGCTTACTTATATGGTTGAACGATTTCATGGCCCATCAGTTGTTAAGACCGGAGTCTGCAGACATAATCTATCTATCATCGCCCACTTTCATAATGAGGTACAAGTTTGAATTGTTTTGTATAAAAAATGTCCCACACTTCAAACCGAAACACACTACTACCTGGAAGACACAGGCAGAAACCACGTTACCTACAAGAGCGGGCTTACAATGCATCAGCTGATCAACCTGAAAATAAATTGAGGGTGCCTAAAAAAGTTGTTAGTGCGATATTTGCGCTATCTATCTAGTGAATACTAGTCATATCGTTATGCCGTATTTGTATTTCAGCTACCAGTTCTAACAACGCTCTCCGTACCAAGGGATTGCGGTATTCCTTTGCAGTATTCAATGTATTGAACTACGTGCAACGCCCAAGCGTCTCTTAAAAACTGAAGTCAAGACAGCTAAAAATTCGCGGATCAAACTGATAGTTAATTTGCTATCAAATTTTATAAGCGATTCGAATTTTGCCGATTATTTGAATTCCTTTTAACATTTTAATTGAGATCACAAGACGACCTTCATGAAGTTTAAAATGAATAAGTTAAGCGTGGGGTTATGAATCTAGGTCGTCTGGGTTTTCGACCTACGGAGACCGTCTGTTTGATGATCTCGAATATACGGTCTCAAGTATAGAACAATACACAGCTTAAACAGAAAGCTAAACTAGACTTTAATGGACGTGTCATTAATGCTGTTGTTAATTGAAGTTGTTAATGAAAATCTTTATTAAGTGTATTTGTTTTTTTTTTTCACCTTTTTCTTTTTTCATTAATGACAAGAATACAAACTTCTTCGGTTTTCGAAAGTGGTAGACATTTTTTTAAACTCTGTAAATATTTAAAATCTTTTTACAATTCATTTTTTTTATTAATATAGGCTACTCTGTATTAGTGTTCCAATAATATCCATACTAAATTTTACTGGAAGTTAATTCATTGGTTCGGCTGCTAAAATCTGACAGACTGACAGAGTTAGTTTCGTATTGATCGATAATGTTATTTGCTGTGTAACTTCTAACTTATCGCATAAAAGCAAATACGAAAAATATATATGTATATATATTATTTTTTATTGCTTATATGGGTGGACGAGCTCACAGCTCACCTGGTGTTAAGTGGTTACTGGAGCCCATAGACATCTACAACGTAAATGCGCCATCCACCTTGAGATATAAGTTCTAAGCTCTTAGTACAGTTACGACGGCTACCCCACCCTTCAAACCGAAACGCATTACTGCTTCACGGCAGAAATAGGCAGGGTGGTGGTACCTACCCGTGCGGACTTACAAGAGATCCTACGACCAGTAATAGCTTTTTTCTGTAATATCCGATTTTAATGAAAAACGATGATTATATTCTGCTTAAAATATACATAACTATGTTTAAGTAAAACCTTTAGGTAGTTCCAGAGATGTGCATTAACAAACACACAGAGAGACAGAAATAATTTAAAAAATCGCTGATTTTTATTTTTATTTATTATTCTCAAGCTACCTCTTTCTATTTTCACTGCCTTTCCTCAATGCACGGATAAACGGGTTTCTACTGTTTTTTTTAAATCTATTGATAATGGATTGTTTGTATATAGTATAAGTTATAAGCGTATTTGTGTGCGCGCCCTAATTTCCACTTAGAATTTAATATGATGTTATTATTTCAAGCACATATTTGATTACATTATTGGAAGCCACCGTAACGGTTGTCAGGATTAGATCGTTCTAAGCAAGAAAGCCACCTATTGTCGCTGACTTTGTTATGTATAATATTATTGTATAATATTTATATATTTTATTATTAAATATACGTTTTTAATACTTTGTTTTCACGATTACGTTTCTGGATTAATTTTTCTATTTCATCATTTAAGACGTGCCTGTGTTTCTTTTTATTGCCCTAGATCAAGATACGCTCGAGGCTGTGTCAAAATTGTTAAGCTCGTAGCTTTAAAGACTATGACTGTAAAAACTAACAAGCTTTGACAATTCCACGTAGCTCTCACGCGGCCAATGATCGGAGACGCTGGAAGGACATATGAGAAAATAAAGTCCTATCTAAACATGATGGTCACGACCCTCAGCAATGGTGAAACGACACGAGAAGGAGGAGAGTCCTTAAAACTAGAACCCACCATTTTTCCTTTAGTAAACAACGGAGTGGTTCGTGAATGCGGCTATTTACGTCATAAAATGGAATCACAACCAAGTCGCATTCGTCGATGCCACTACATTAGTAGTCATGAAAACTTCAGCCGTCTCCACCAACTTTAAAAATATTTTTTTATTACAAAGATTATCCCAATTGATCGCCTCGTTAGTGACTTTGACTACAGTCCTCAGAGTCCTGGTTTAATTTCTACCCGACTCTATATCTTGTTTAAAGATATTTAATATTTGATGACTTAGGAATTTCCTAAAATATTCTATTAAATGTAACAGCCTAGTTAAATAGACTATGTTAATAGTGTGACGTCTATAACTGAAGTCTTGGAATATGTTTTTTCCGTACTTATTCGCTGGTAGCGTAGGGGGATATTCTAGTTACGCTGTGACTGGTAAGTGAGCTTGTCTCTGAAGATCGTTTTTAAACACGGTACACGAAAATTCAAACTAAATAATAAAGGTATCATGGAAAAAGAAAACGTTTTCAGGTATATTTTGTTGGTTCATTTGGCGGTGATTCCCTGTAAATTTTCTTCGACGAAATAAATTACAACGCGAAATTGCATCTGGTTCCTTCCATATTCCTTATTAACAGGGTAAAGCTCTATGTTTTCGAAGTCGTCGTGGCCTAAAGGATAAGACGTCCGGTGCATTCGTATCTAGCGATGCACCGGTGTTCGAATCCCGTAGGCGGATACCATTTTTTCTAATGAAATAAGTATTTAACAAATATTCACGGTTGACTTCCACGGTGAAGGAATAACATCGTAGGACCTGTTGTAGGACCTGTTGTGAGTCCACACGGGTAGGTACCATCACCCCCCTATTTCTGCCGTGAAGTAGTAATGGGTTTCGGTAGATTTATATGGGCACCAGTAACCACTTAACACCAGGTGGGCTGTGAACTCGTACACCCATCTAAGCAATAACAAACATGTTTTAAAATATACTGATTGTTGAGAATGTCTGCGACTTATTCCTGTATTGTTGTGCTATTTTAATAATTTCAAATTCAGTGGTCATCAAAACGAAAATAATAAATTCTGACAAATTATTTCCACGAACTATCATGTCCATCTTCAAAACATGTTGTAAGCGTTTGTTTTGGCGTTTCAATACATATCTACATGTACATTCATAAGTGACGGCTGTATCAAGATAATTGGTTCTTTTTTAATGAGAGTAGACATAAAACCTCTCGCATGGCCACTTATAAAAAAGAAACATAAGAAGCAAAAGTCAAAAATAAAAAAGAAGACTGTCGCCGACCGCACCGCACGCGCTGTACACGCACACGCCGCTTATTTTTTCACAAATATTTTCATGGACTCAAATTAATTCTCTATTATACAAACTCTTACTGACGACCATATTCGTCGTTGCGCGAGTGATATACAAGTTTTATAGACAATAATTTAGAAGAGTGCCGTGTCAAGTCGCCGCCATTACGCGTCGTCCAGCAGTGGCGTCGAATTCTTCAGCCTGGAAGAAGCTAGCGACGGGTTGGCAGGTACGTCTACTCCTCATAGCCTAGCCTCGGCCTTCCCCTCTTTTGTGCATCTTTAGCGATACTCGCCCCCGCAAAACTTTCTTCAAAAATATTGAACCAGCGCACCGCCGTGGTGGAAAATTTGTAAAGAGTTTTTCCCACTATTATTGGTCCTTCGTCCCCGGATTACATTTTAATCATCGCTGATCACCGCTTATTACGCGAATAAACACGCTTTATTATATATTTTGATATTTTATTCGCACCGCATTTCATCATATTCCATTATTTTTGACAGGTCATTGACC